ATTTTGTCTAAAGAAATTGCCAACATAACTAAAAACCTAAAAATTTGATATGATGCGTACACTTGTTGTATAAAAAATCAACGAGATGTCTTCTTTAGATTTGAGTTTGACAAAGTTTATTGAGAATATAAGTTGGTGAATTTTATTAAATGGGTGATTACAAAGTGAATAAAATTTATAAAACCAATTAAATTTATGTTTAATAATGATGTTTAATTAACAAGTAATCTCAAAAAAAGTTTAATGAATCGAGACGTCATGTTTTAATTAATAAGATCTCGGCCCTACAAGATTTCTCACGAAGTCTCACGTACCTGATTCGACCTCATTAAAAAAAGATATGTCCTAAGCAATAATTGAACCAAGCCCTTGATATCACCGTCTGCTTCGTCATCAATCACCACCAACAGTGCTAATGCACCACCATTCTTTTGTCTTACATAAGTATTATCTAAGTGGAAACTTGTAATCACAAAATAATTCGTCCCCAAATTCAACTTTATTTTTAGAATTATGCTATGTGCACAATTGCCCCATAGATCCTATATCTATCTATATGAAGAAGAGATCATGTACAAGGGACTTATTCCTTTTGGAACATACTATATCTCACGAGTAAATCGAAAATTGGATCTACATTGAATCTCACCCAAATCGTTTCATCTATCCTACTGAGGAAAGTTTTGATTTCAAATCCCAGTTCAAACAAGAGGAGTACGTCATGCTAATGTATCTTGGATGATCCATATCTTAGGATCAGACGTTGATGAACACATTGAAATATGAACTACTCATGTGACTAAGAGCCCTCACAACCCAGACACAACGATACAATTATCAGTGGTGTGCTCTACCATTTAACTAATAGCTCATGTGAACCTCCTACTAGGGGTCCGTTATGTCAAAAGTGAGAAAAACCCCATCTATTGATATGGTCGATTCGGTGATTAATGGTTCTCGATTGAACATATCCGTTTAATTCTAATAATGTGACAGAGATTAAGAAAAGAGTATTGAATCTACCCAACAGATATTACAATTAAAGAAGAAAGAAAGTTTGGATTTACTTTAAGAAAATATTTTAGAGGCCTATTTATAAATTATAAGCACGCGAAAACATGTTTGGTAACCTTAAAAATTTACTTATGACTAACCTTCCAAATAAGTAACTTTTGAACCTTTTCTCAAGCTCAGCCAAACACACGCTGTGAGGTGTCAACTTCAACTGTTGTCCTACTCTAGGAACTGTACAAAACAGAATATATAACTCCCGCAATTAACCAAATCATCGGAAGCAAGCAAAGAGAAGATCGATGGCAAGAGGAGGTGGGCACCGATACTGTTACAAAGATGTGCTTCCGTTCACCGCCCTGGTGGCGATGGAGTGCTCCAACGTCGGCCTTAACACACTGTTCAAATTCGCCACTAACCACGGGATGAGCCATCATGTTTTCGTCGTTTACGCCTATGCCGTGGCGGCGCTTGTTCTACTTCCGGCGATGTTTCTCCGTGGAAGCAGATCGAGAGTGCTTCCTCCGTTGAACTTCTCTATCATGATCAAAACTTTTCTACTCGGAGTTATTGGGTGAGTGATTGTTCAACTCTACGCATGTAATTGTTTTCAATTAATGACTGGAAATCAGAGAATTTCATGAGTTCCCTCTTTTGAACTTCTCCATCATGATCAATTTTTTTCTGCTCGGAATCATAGGGTGGGTAAAGTATTCAATTCTACGCATCTAATTTAGTTAAATTAGTGGTTAGAACTGAGAAATTTTTATAAACTAGGAATCGTGAATGAATTGAACTTCTCCATCATGATCATAATATTTCCGCTTGGAGTGTAAATTGCTCAATCTACACACCTAATTCACTTGAATCGGTAACTGGAAATGGAGAAATTTGTTGAATTAAAGCATTCTAATTACATGAATTTTCTGGTAAGGCAGGTGTACATCTCAGATCATGGGTTATACTGGAATCAATTATGGATCACCAACGCTTGCTTCAGCCATCAGCAACCTGACGCCGGCTTTTACTTTCGTGCTTGCCATCATTTTCAGGTTTCTTTCACCTATAATGCTTTTCTTTGTCCTTTTCTTACCTCTTCCAGCTTTCTGATGTCTTCTGTACATGATATTTTTTCGTTTAATTTTTTAAAGATCAAGAGTTGGACTGGGATTTTTTTTAATCAGAATTCTGATGTGAATCGATAAGTTCTTGACTTGTATTAATGAATTTTTGCTCATAACGGAATCGGTTTCGGCTGATTTAATTCAGTTTTGACAGCAATTGGTTACAATAGATTGGATTAATAAGAGTTATTATAATCCAAGTTAGACCAATTATTAGATAGCTTATCCTTGTTTGTGACTGAAAAGTTTGCCGGTTAATCACATAACTTATGACTTGAAAACTCTTAAAATTTACAATAAATGGAAAGGTTGACTTTGGATCTTGCAATGAGTTCGATAAATTATAGTTGGAGTCCCCAATCTATGGGAAGCACGTAATTACTTTTGTATAGCAGCTAGGTCATCAATCTTTCAATTTTGTAGTAAGTTGCTTATCAACCTTATTGTGTACTAATCACATAATTAGTTACTTCAAATTAAGATGTGCATTTGGCATTGGATCTTCCACCGAACCTTTTTTTGGTATGATGCAAATTTTACTTTACAAATTGAGCCCTTGTTTGAACCCTATTTTTGGGAGAGAATGTATTTTTGAATAGTGATTTTTTAAAGAATGTGATGAATTTTTCAAATAGAGGCTCCCTTTCTGATCTCGGTATTCAGTACAGTTGAATCTAACTTATCAGGTGCGCTATGAATGCATTATTTGCTTTGTCTGTCTCACCAGATTCTTACCGAAAAATTCCTTGAGTACAGGAATTTTTGCCAGATTTTTGAAATGCATCAATCATGTTCGTGTACGTGTATTTTTCCTCCTCCAATCTTACAATCATTTACCTTAATTTCAAATTCTTGTATGTTTTCTGTGAAAAATTCTTGTACTCAAAGCAGGATTCATTCTTTCCAGCCCACTGCCATATTCCCAAAAGGGATAGAAAAGCATGTCTTGTAGGGGCCCTATTTTCTTTCCAATAATGAAAGGAAAGAAAGCTACAGTTGTGCCTGATTGGGTTTTCTACTTTTCTTGAAACTGATTAAGTGGGCCCGTTTGTAGGATGGAAAAGCTAGAGCCGTCGAGCACAAGTAGCCGGGCTAAAGTGGTTGGCACCCTGATCTCAATATCAGGTGCATTTGTAGTGACTCTTTTCAAGGGTCCAAGTATCAGTTCCACACACACCAAGCATCAAATTCTACATTCATCACGATCAAACTGGATTATTGGCAGCCTATTTCTCACCGTTGAATATATTTTGGTGCCAGTGTGGTACATTTTTTTGGTGTGGATACCAAAAGCTAATTCTTACAATCTTTTATTGGGAAATTTGCAAATACTAGTCTCAAACTTTTACAGATAAAACACTAGTATCCGCCCAACTTTTTCTAGCTCATAGATTCTCGAACTTCTATTTTTGGTGCAAGTTAATCCCGATTGAATGAAAATCACCAATCTTTTTCCTCATACGACCTAAAGAGTTCTTTTTGTCATACCAATATTTTCCCATAAAAATAAATGGTATAAAATACTTGGATGTGACATCTTTTGTTTCGAGCAAAATTGGCCAATATTGGCTCTCTCTCAAAATAAGTCATTGTGCAAGACGTGACTATTTGATGGAAAAATTGACACCTTTTGTTTGGAGCAGAAAGGGTCGATATTGGATCTCTCTCAAAATAAGTCATTGTGCAAGACAAGTGACTATTTGATGCAAAAATTGACAGTTTCTGTCAAGTAGAGACCAATATGACTATGAACCAAAAAATGGAAGTTCGGAGATGTAAAGGGAAGAAATTTGATAACAAGCCTTTATGGTCTCTTTTTGAAAGTTTGGTAACCTAGCGTGCAAATTTCCCTTTACTACTGATTTTTTGGAAGATAAATAAAACTTGGACTTGACTTGGTGTTTTATTCATAGACGCATATCATGAAAGAGTACCCGGCAGAACTGACATTGATGTTCTTCTACAATTTATTTGTGAGCATCCTAGCTGCATTCGTAGGTCTCATTGTAGAACCAGACTCTAGCAAATGGATAATAAGACCCAACATCTCGTTGGCCTCTATTCTATGCTCTGTAAGTGATGAAAATAGTTGTTTTTTCCTTAATTCCCACCAGATGAAGTTTGAAAAGAAATAAAAATATACAGGGGGTTTTTGGCTCCGGCTTGAACAATGTTATTCATACATGGGCCTTGCACTTAAAGGGACCTGTCTATGTGGCCATGTTCAAGCCATTGTCCATTGCCATTGCAGCTGCCATGGGAGTCGTCATCCTTGGCGATACTCTTTATCTAGGAAGGTACACCTATACCCCTACCACACACCTAAAAACAAAATAACTCATTTTCTGTTTTCCGTGTGCTATTTTGCAGCATCATCGGTGCAACAATAATAGCGATTGGATTCTATACTGTAATGTGGGGCAAAACAAAAGAGGCTATGGTCGAAGTTGATGAAATCAGTGATCTGGAATCTGTGGCTACCCAAAAACATCCCTTGTTGCAAAGTTACAAAAATGACGGGACAGAGGAGAGGTGATTAGTATGCAGAGAGTAATTCTCTCCTGTAAACAGATATGTATAGCTTATAATTGACTTGGTAAGCAGAGAGTGATTCTCTCTTTGTAACATATATGTATAGCTTAGCTAAATCCAAATATCAGAAGGTAAAAGCTACTATCTTCTTTCTTTGCCTCAAAATTCTCCTCCCAATGAATTTCAGAATGCAATTTCCAGATTCTCTGTAGCGAGATGAAAATTCTACAAAAATGTGGAGCACTTGGTGGAACTTTGATGAACTAATCTCGGCTCAAGTGAGATCCTTGGACAAAAAAATAACGGCATTATTTTGACACCGAGCGTCTTTACTATTTTAAGATTCAGACAGGTACATACTTTGAAGAGCCACTACTTGTAAGTAAACTCAAATATATAACAAACTAGAGAGCGAAAGTGGCAAGCGAACTAGAAGACACTACTGTGGGATAAGAACTTCCAAACCTTTAGCAGCTGGCTTTCATGTCTTCAGATCATCGGACATGGCTGAAGGGATACAATGCATGGCCAGAATATCTTTTGTTGCAGCTTTTGCCTTCTGAGTCTGTAGGACTACAATCTACACATTGCACAGACAAATTCAGTGAGAACAAACCAAAAAATTTTAGCTTGATCAGGGTAGTCAATTGACCTTAGGATTGCCCAGGACATATTTGATCAAGCCCAGAATACCATTTTCTCTTTTTCTTTCTCATTTTTTTTCCTTTAGGGTTTGAGGGGAAGATGAACCTGCTCATATTCAAGATCAAACTTCAAAAATTCTTCTTCACAGCTTTCCACCATGCTAGCCAAACTCTTTAGATTCTTGACAGGCATTCCATTGAAGGCATGGACCTGTATATACATAAACAGTTAAAGATTTAACAATACCAACAAATCACTCGTATCAAATGCTGAAATTGTCAGCTATAGTGTCAAAATTATTCTACCTGTATGTTGACTATATCTTCATATCCAACATTGATGTCAGCAACAAGCACCTAATACAATCTCAACAAGGAGTCGAGTAATGATTAATTCAAATTTGGAATTTTTTCACAGAACACGTCATGGAGGTAGTTACGAAATGAGAGGGAAAAAACCTGAGAAACAACAACTAGCTGCTCATCTACCGATTGTGCCATTGCATGGAGAAGTTTGTCGAACAATTTGACTGGAGTGTCGATTTCATAATCTTTTCCATACTGGAGTTGTATAAGACAGGCAATAGAAAGTGAGAAGACAGAACCTTCACAAACATGGCAATAGAACTTCTAAGATTTTTTTCCAATTTAGACACAGCAGAAGCTGATAGCACGTCTGTCTAAGCTCAAAAGTAACTTAAAGTTACTTTACTTTTTAATTTTATTTTTTTGAAAACATCATCGTATATGTTACTTCTTTTCAGAAAAGAACATAAGTGGTATATATAATAGTGTCGTAGCAATATGTAACTTAAACCAACTTTGACCAACAAAAATATTATTTATTCCATGGCTTATTTATTTATAAGAAAAACATGCACCTAAGCAGGGAAAACCAATAACAGAGTGAACACATAGTGACGATCTCAATAACACACCTCTGAACGTAAATATGGAACAGAAACAGCAGAGAACACGAATCCACCAACAATGTAATACGAAGGTAGTCTGCCATTAATATGTGCTGGGATAAGGCGTTTGTGAGTGTCAAGTTTTTTGTTGAACTCAAGTACTTTGGAATTACGGAGGACTCTGACCAGAGCATAATCTCCAGTGTACTTTTGAGAGATGAGATAACTGAAACTAATACGCTCTCCGTGTCTAAATGGAACTGAAAACAAAATCAGTTAAAGAAAATTAGATTGCTTCAACTAGTTGAAACTTCTCAGAAAATGCCTACTGTAAAGTAGCAAAGGATAAATATGTTACTCCTTGTACCAGACACCAATATAAGATAATTATATGAGATGGAATTAGAAACGCTGAAGTCCAGACAAACTGACAGAAATTACAGAAAAAAGCTAGAGATGGACCGATCAACAATCAAGCATGGCACAAAATAGATGAAAATGAGTAGATGCTGAAATTGATTGCAAATGTCATTAAACCTAATATACAAAAGACAACTAACAATATCATTTACCATTCTTTTGATTTAGGAACTTCTTCCATTACATAACCTTAAAATTCAGTTTGTTAAGCAATCTAGCATTGTGATTTTCAAACAGATTCAATATGCACAAACTTTTCAAGACTGAACTTCTATGATAACTTTGTAGAGTTATAACACGATACACAAGCAATTTACAGTGAAATCTGGGCAGAAACAAATGCACAAAGAAATGTTTCAGTAGTTATAACAGTAATTGTAGGAGTCTAAACAATGCTTCAATCAAACCCCTCAGGTTTATTTCAACACAATAAATGAGCACCAATAGAATATTTCAACTAGACCGACATATATTCAGTCACCATTAAAACATCAGTCAAATTAGGAACTCTCTTGTATAATTTACATAAGATGAGATGTCATGAACAGGGACACCAACTAGCAAAACACATTCAAGCAGCTAAACCGAGGTGAAGTCAATAGTTGGGTCAGGTGGCAAAAGGTGCCAATGGTAATCCAAAAAAGACATCAATCAATTAAATCAATGGTACCTGTTCCATCATTAGCAATATCAACCCCGTCAAAGCTGAGGAGAACATCAGATGGCCTTAGAAGATGAGACTCTGGAGCTGTAGGCTCAATTCTTCGAATGCGGACACCCTTTTGGTCGGGGGACATTCCTGTGGACGTGCGCAAATCAAGATTCTCCATCTTTTGCCACTTAACCCCAAGGATTGGAAACCCTGAATTTCAGAGACACAATCAATATTGTAACTCGTGGATGTATGAAATTTAACACACACATATCAGCATTACCAATTTAAATTATCCTACCTGTATACACCCCATTTTTCTCATAGTCCTGAATGAAATGCATAATCACAGGAGTAGGAATGACATAACCAATGTTTTCCACATCTTCATGTTTCAGAGATTGAAATGCAATACCCACGCATTTTCCTTTATCGTTAAAAGCAGGACCACCAGAATTTCCTGAATTGATTGCGGCATCTATCTGAACAGTCAAATGAAAAATTACTACATTCATTAATATAAAATTTCCATAAGAATATACTCCACACAGATTCAACATGCATAAATCAATGAATTCAACCTGCAACCCAAGTAGCTCTGTTGAGCCATGAACATAAGACAGTATTTCCATGCGCGATACCACACCACTCGTCACGGAAATTGTGTCACCGCCTATAGGATACCCCACAACAGTAACGGCATCTTGTAATGCAGGCAAATCTCCAAACTCCAAAGGTGATACTCCTTCCCAGAAGTCGTCATCTCTCACAGTCAACATAGCTATTTCAAAGACAGGAATCAGTATGTAACAACAGAGGCAAATAAAAGTAATATTAGAGGTCAAAAATTGGTTAAAGACATTGTTAGTCAATCAATTTACATAGTTTTATCATTTTGATCACTGAGATTTTTCTTTACCAAATTCATGTCAATCTCAGTTTGTCTTCAGGGAATTGGGGAACAAAGTTAAGATTCTTTCTTGTTTCATGTATTGCTTTTTATGTTACTTTGGAACAGAGAATTTTAAAAGTAGAAGTAGTACAACTACCAACTAAAAGCGCACTAACAAATTCTCCATTTCACGTTACTTTTTCACTAGCCATGACCATTAATCTAGACGGTGTGTTTAAGCTGAAATGCAAACGAAGCTCAGCAATTCATTCGAAAATAAGTTAGATGGATAAAGAAAAGGGGATGTATAGTTCGTACCGATATCACATTCTGTACCAATGGCAAGGACAGTGGCCAGGTATTTGGTATCAGAACCGCGTTTTTTGAGCTTGACTTGTGTGTGATGCTCCACGGAGTGGGCATTTGTGAAAATTCTCCTCCCACCAATGATAAACCCGCTGCTGCTGGAGCTGTACTGCCGCTTCCGCTGCCATGGAAGTGAGAAATTTGGTTCAGTGTGGACACAGAACACCTTCACTACAGAATCCATCGACGACGCTGCTTTTGCTGCTGCAGCCACACTCTCCCACCTGACCTGCGGAGGCACCGCCGCAGCCTCCACTATCACGTGCCCGTTATCTGCAATTAAGTCTCCAGCGCCGTTGTACTCGTGTAGACTAGGAGCTCGCCCCTCCGGCGACGCGACGATGTCACTTCTGTCATCTGCGGGGTGATTACAACGCTTCTTAGGGCGTCCGCGGCCACGGCGATGGGTATGGGAGTCCTGGGTAGCTTCAGTAGGTATCGTAGCCACTGCTCCGTCGACCACGGCATTAGAAGTGGAGGCTGATGCGGCAGCTTTAGCTTCCGCCACCGCATTTTTAGGTTTTCTTCCTCTTTTCCGCTTCAGGTTTCCCATTATTACAACTAATTTTCTGGGTCCGTGTTTCGAGAAGGTGAATGGGCTTATGCCGTCGGTTTTTCACTCGAAGTAAACTTCAATCCCAAACATCATGGTCTCGTCTTGGTCATAATCTTAGGTGAGCCAGATCAAGATTCAAACCTAGCCCTGGATTCCGTCATTTTCAAGATTTATTTTTCTCACTTTTTTTTCAACAACACATCTTCAATAAAATAATATCGGACATATATTCAAAAATTTTCTTTATTTTATAATTACACATTCTCTATTAATTTACTATTTCAAAATGTATTCTACATCAAAAATAGACCTCAAACGGGCCCCTAGTCCTTGTTTGGCCCATTTTTTTAATAACTCAATTTTTATTTGAGATAATTACATAAAATCAGCTGTTTACTTTTAAGTTTATGAAAATCAGGTTTAACCTTTTGTTAATCAAAAATCAAGTTTTATCATTTTTAATTAATAATGATATTATAAAATTAAAATAACATATATAC